CGGCGAATTTGCCCCTAGTGTTGTGGATAGGAACTCAGTTGTCCTTTAGCAATACTTTCTTCTTTCCTCCCTTCTGGGATTTGGCATTCTTGTCGATCTTCGTTAGCTTGAAAAATGTCCCAATTCTTGACTTTTCGAGCACGTTTGACATTTTTGGCCCCTAGTTCAGGGGATGTTTCTGATCTAGCTTTACAAGCTTCCTTTGATAATATCTGATCTTCTTGCCCTTAGTTCGAGGGCTGCTTCAAATCTAGCCACATAGGCTTCCTTTGGTGTTGACCATTGAACATTCTGAATCCAAATTCAAGGTTTGAAAGTGAGGGGTCGAGTCTCAAGGTTGAGAGCGATCCTAAGCTGCCCAATCTCAAGAGCGATTCCACACAGGTCTTCACAAAACCGCGCAAAACATTTTTTGAAATCTTTTAAGAAAGCGACTAGTTGCTCGCGCTGAAGACAGTGTAGAACTAATCTGGATCAAACCAGGATCCTTCTCAGTACTCATGTTAACAAACATGATCTCATTCATTAATGGGCTTAGCATGCCTCTCTTTCTCTCAAATTGATTAAATTTTGCAAAACCCGAGGAATTCCTTCCTCTTTGTTTTCATCACAATGTTCAAAAAGAAGTTTTGGAAAACTTAGGTCGATGCGATGAATTCAAAACATAGAAAAGACACGATTTCCAGTCAAATACTGCCATCTCATTCAGAACTTCTGGCATAACCGGCACAAGGTAGAAGCAAACACAAGAGTGTGAAAATCACTGTTGTTTCATTCAAATATGTTGGCACAACTGGCTCCAAGGCAGAAACAGACTCAAAAGAAAGCGAAAAGAAAAACACAAAACAAGCAAGTGATATCCGAGGTAACACCCCTGAAATCACCCGACTCCTATACAACAGGACTGACTCGATGCAACAAGACAGACCCTTAATCAAAAAAGACTGACTCAAAACAAAGAGACAGACTCAAAACGAAACCACAGAATTGAACACATCACCCAAGTCAGAAACTACAAAAACCAACATTCGCAAATGCTCAAAATAGTGCGTGCCACACGCCACATCTGAAGTAAACTGGGCACCGCCCGCAAGTGGTTCATTCCCTGATCACATCACATTATCCTCCAGATTCACTAATCCAGTGACAATGGACTTTGCTGAGCTGGGTGGGAGGACAACCCCGTTGTCAAACAAATCCTGTACCTCATGGCGAAGACGGAAGCAATTGTCAGTGGTATGACCAGTTTGTTGATGATACGCACAGTACTGGGTAGCATGGCTAGGTGGAAGACGATTAGGGAGAGGCCGAGGCTTGAGGGGTTTGAGATGCCCCTTTTTAGCAAGGATTTGAAGCGCCTTGGACAAAGGCATGTAGAGGGCATGAAAGACCCTGTGACCTCGGGGCAGATACTTCGAATTTTGTGCATTTTTACTGGATGCACTAGCAAAAGGATTGACAAGTACAGGCTTGGCTTGCTGACTTTTCCTGGATGCAGAATTAGGGTTGGAGGGAACGGTTCCGGCATGATGACCCTTCCCTCAATTTTTCCCTTGGCTTGAACTGCCCTCGGCCTGAGTGAGGAAAGCGTCATTCATAGTTTTTGCAACAACCATGAGCACTTGTTGTTTGTTCAGTCCCTTGGCTTTCAAAGCCTCAACAGCCTGCGGAAGTTGTTCGTAGGGATCAATGTCTGCCTCCACCTTGTTCTTACCACTAGCCTTAGCTTGGTTGAAGGTTTGGGTTGCTATATCAGAGTGGAGCCCGGTTGTCGTCGAGATGCCATTACCTATACTTAGGATGGGTTCAGGTTGGCTAAGTTCAATTACAATTCGCCCCAAGAGTGGGGGTTCTTCTGGCATGAAATTTCCGGCATACGATGTGGTCGATGGTGGAGCTAACATTCCAAAGGCTATATCAGCCACAGTCCTCTGAAGATCGCCGATCATTCCCATTAGCTCAAAAGTGGTGGGCTCACAGGTTTGAAATAATTGGGGTTCCCAGATTGGATGCGCGGCAGGCGACCTAGGCAGGTGTGGTATGTCAACATCGGTTTCACCCTGTATGCTGATTCCTTGGTTTAGTGTCGTTGCCATGACCACAATTTCTTCTGAATTTTATGTCATTACAAGTCTGTTGAACTGAACAGAGGTGATGTGACTGGTGGCTGACGGATCTGATGAACCGGCGAGCCTTGACTGGCCCCTTTCTGTCTGGCCTTAGCGAAGGAGAACACTGGTTGCCCTGAACCGAATCTCTGAACCTTAAAAGAGAAAATAGGTAGCATCTCAGCCCAATTTCACCAGAATAGACATAAGCATAGCTGAATAACTGTATTCGATCATTGATCACTGTTTCCCAAATTACTGCCCCGAAACTAAATCTGATACCCTCAGATATAACTGATTCTCAAAATACAGATGCCCGCAGGCCTGATACTCAGACTTGCAAACTGATACGTGCATTCCTTGTAGAGGCCAACTCTAAAACCATATAGCAAATAAGTGAGAGCCAAAACAACCCTATGTTGGGGTAGGGTTTCCCTGTCCTATTTTGTCAGGAGCCAGAGTTTCACTACGACATAGCAGTTTCAAACAACCTATAATCGGGTAAGTAACCTGTCCTAGTTTGGAATAGTCACTATGGATTCCGATATGCACTAGGTGGAATGGTCAAAAAGGGTGCCCCGGTAAAAACTGGGGTTTGTGTTCCCGTCGTGGCAGAGCTCGCAACCGGTCAGCCTTATGGCACGCTTCTCACACTACAACAAAAATAGTCTTTAGAGATGAAAACTAATGACGAATTTTTTTTTTGTCACGATATACGTATCTTTTAATGACGAAAATCATATTTCGTCTCTAAATGTACCATTTTTGGAGACAAAAATAAAATTTCGTCACCAATCTAAATCATAATAAAAAAATTAGGTGACGAAATTATTTTTCGTCATTATTTATAATTTTTTTTGTCACCAAATATTTTCCCGCTAATATTTTCGGAGGGTGCCAAAATTTTGAGACTTTTAGTGATGAAAAAATTAGTCACCAATTATAAAATTATTAATGACGAATATATTTTTGTCACCAATAATTTTTAATATTTTAATATCATTTAGTGACAACGATTTTTGTGGCCAATATTTCTATCTTTGGTGAAGAAATAATTTTGTCACCAATAAATAATTTAGTTACTAAATATTTAGGGGGAAAAAAATGTTTTGGCGCCTCAAACACACACAATAATTTATCGGTTCAAACCTATTTCACACACACACACACACACACACACACATAGAGGCGACGCTGCTGCTCATTCTCCTCATCGATTTAGACACAGATTCATCGACGATCGGCTCACTCTGCTCACCGCCGTCACCCTCTCCTCACCGCCACTGATCTGTTAGCTTCTCCTCTCCTCACCGCCCCTCGCTGCTGTGTCGATCTAGCCTCTCCTTCCCTTGCCGATCTCATATCCTCTTCTCACCGCCGCTGATCTGTTAGTCTCTCTCTCTCTCTCGATGCTCTCTCTTTCTCTCTTTTCTTTTGCTACTCTGTGTTCTGTATACATTATATTGTTATACATATAATATATATATATATATATCCTGCTCTATTTTATTTATAATTAGATTCTGAATATAATTAGATTCTGAATATGAACCTTGTAATTTGATTAAGATACTGTGAAAGTAAATTAAAGTATTGTTTCTGGAGGGGAAAGATTTAGGTTTAATTTCTCCATCCTAATTCTTTCTTTAGTTACTTTTTTGTATACTTTCTGATTGTAATTCGAATCGGAGTTTTGGTAATGATTGAACATTTAAGATTTGTATGATTATGAACCACATGAGAAGAAAAAGACCTTTGTTGTTCAAGTAGTTATTTGAATTGCATGAAATATGATGCATTCCATTTAGCCCAATATTGAAGTTACTGACACAGTCATGTTTTTCTTTTTTATTATAAATTGGGATGTAAGATTTTGAGATTAAGTAATTGTCTTTTTAGTAATAAAATTCAGAGAAATATATAAAATATTATTCTTGTTTTCTTTGTGTTTTTCGTTCATTTCATACGCATCTCTACATCAGTTATAGAGTGCCTAATTTGTCATGAATTGCATTTGAAACTTAGGGATATAAGAGGCTAAGTGGAAAATAGTACAAGCTTGGATCATATAATCCCAAGGAGATGGATGGACACCAATATATATAGATATAGATATAGATATAGAGACAGACATATCAAAGGGGGTTGAGGAACAAGATTGTGTTTTTTTTATATATTGAAGAAACATACTGTGAATTATTAATTGAGCCCAGTTTTGTTGTGCAACATAGCCAATCAGATTTGATATTGTAATGCTGAGTTCTTTGGAGTTTTCAGAACCTCATTGACATCACAAAAATTCAAATTTTTACTTATTGCATATTCCTCCATTTTCTTGACAACAATTCAACTAGGAAATTTAGTTTTGTAATAGTAATACTTTTGAACTTTGTAGAATCATTCATCATTTTCTTTTTCAAATTTATGAGTCCCACATATCTAATCATGTTTTCTTGCCCTAATTCAAAACTTCTTTACAATTTATGAGGCCCACATATGAACCTTGTAACAAATCCTACTCTGTGTTCATATTGAATATTTTATTTATAATTAGATTATGAATATAACTCAATAGTTGATTTGTTGTTCAGATTGTTGAATATAACTCAATGTATATATAATATACATCATGTGCCATTATTTTATTTTTTTTAATGATTTGTTGAATATAACTCAATAGTTGAATATAACTCAATGCATATATAATATACATCATGTGCCATTATTATTATTTTTTAATGATTTGTTGAATATAACTCAATGTATACACACAGATTCAAGTGCCATTATTTTTTTTTTTTTTAATGATTTGTTGAATATAACTCAATAGTTGAATATAACTCAATGTATACACACAGATTCATGTGCCATTATTTCTTTTTTTAATCTGTAATTTTGTATCCTATCTTTCCCTCTTTTAAAAATTAATTTTTGGCCTTTTCTTTGCAGAAGAGACATAAGCTTGAATCACACTATTAGATCCTTCTATAGCGATCTTATTTCTTTACTGGTAAATCTTTCCATATGAAGAAGTAAGTATTGTAATGGTTCCAGTTGAGATAATAGTAGGTGCTTATATGATATGGATAATAAATTTTGATTATTCTATTTCTGTGAAGCATTACTATGCAATTATAGTTTACTTTATGGAAAATAACACTAGTAAACAAATGCCTCATTTGAATGTACAAGATATCATAATCCAAACCACCTTAGTAACGACTGCACCCCCTATAGTAAGCGGTGGCAGCCCAATACTATCGGGGCCTTGGGTGAAATCTCAAATAGGACTCTTATATATATATATATATATAATATTTATTAATTTATTACATTGTAATTTTTTATTCTATCATTCATTTTCCTTGCATATCTATTTTAGTAATTAATTGGTGTTTACTGTTTTCACCATAGGGATCTTGCGACGAGGAACAAATTTTTTTTTTATTGGGCTTTTGTGTAAGAATTTGTTTTCCTTTTTCATTGGGCCTTTTGGATAAGAAGTGTTTTATTAAGTTTTTATTATTGGGGCTCATGAACAAGAAGAACGTTTACTTTGTGGCTTTGGAAGATTACCTTACTCACCTAAGGGATGTGCTGACACTAGAAGTTAACAAATGATCTAACCTCCAGGTCCCTTGAGAGACTCAAATTTGAGGTCTTGAATCTTATCTTTTAAGTTTTTACCACTCGGCTAATTCCTTAGAGTAACTGAAGGTAGACTTATGTGATGATAAACAAAATGTTGTGGTTTGCCCTGTTCATCACTCATGCCTGCTCTCGTGTTTCGATTTCTTGTGTTGTGTTCATTTATGGCCCACAATCTAACTTGTTTATGTTTTCTTATGCCTTGAAAACAATGAAAGAAAGTCCCATGTCACATGGTAAAAAAATAATGTGCAATATATAACCATGAGGGTCTTCTCACCTCAAATAGATAGCTTTTGGGGTTGAGTTCTATCTAAGACAATGTAGCATGGTATCAGAGCTAAAATACTACGGGATGGGTTGGATGCTTTGGCAAGCCATATGCCATTGCCAATTCCACCATACCATCTTTGTTTAAAGAAGGTTTTATTTCTTTTTGTTCTTCTTTTATGGAATTTATTGTGCATTTCAGCAAAGTGAAAACTAGTGAGGTTGCACCAAATTTGCCTTTAGAAGCTATTAAACACTTCCTATTAAATTTCTACTGCATTTGATGTTTTTCATCGTTGTCATCATTGTTTATGTGTGAAAAATTGTTTGACAGGGTGTAGAACAAAATCTAGACAAAAATTGCATAGGTTCTCTTTATTATCCAAAACAAGTACGATTTCTAATGTGCTTCTTTTTGTTCCTTGACTCAACTTAAAAACACAACTTTGCTTGGCATGGTTTTGACATGATTTTTTTGGCAGTGTTTCTGTCCGCAGTACGAGTTAAAATACATCAGGACACCATTTTTCATCTTAACCTCAGCATATGATGTGTACCAAGTAAGATAAATTAAAGTCCTATGACATGTTTTTTTTCAGTGCTTCTAAGGTAATAGTGAAAAATGAGTACTACTTTCTTATCACAGTTCCATCACATATTGGTGCCACCTTCTGCTGATTTGAGTGGGCATTGGAATCATTGTAGGCTTAATCCAGCGGCATGTAATACAAACCAGACAAATATCTTGCAAGGTTATTTTTTGTCCTTACATTCTTAAATTTCAATTGCTTTCGATATTCTTTTCTAAAATTTCTTTTTTCTTTTCATTTTTATTTTTAATGATGATTATCTTCAATTTAGAGAGCATACCTCTCATATTAAATATAAAACTTTCATAAATTTTGCATGTAATTTTTAATGTGTTATCCTTTATGATAGACATGTTTATTAAAATTTCTATTCTTCAGGGTTACGGAAAGATATGCTTGCAGCTTTGAGTTTATTTTTTAAATACTCAAAAAGAGGAGGGATGTTCATAAACTCATGTTTTGCGCATTGCCAAAGTGAGTCACAAGATACATGGCTGACATCAGACTCCCCTAGAGTGCATAATAAGGTTTACAAACTTGCCCTTTTCCTTGGTGGATATGATAGCTTTAATAAGTTGCTGTCATTTTCTAGTCATGCTTTTCTCCTCTTTTGTATTTGTCCATTTATGAAGCACCAATGATAAGTAAATACACTTATGAAATGAATGGTCAGCTCTCAAAGTCTGATCTAAAGTTACATATCCAAAAAAAATTGTAAAACTAGATTGGTATGCGTCATAGTCATGTCAAATATTCTACAACCCATGCATAGAATGATTCAATCCTATGTGTGTACAAATTTAATTAGAAATCATAATCTATGACTGATATAATGTAATAAGTTGACAAAGCATGCCATGGTGTGGTGTTATAGTTCATGACTGAATATTACTTGTTCTATTAGCATAGAATATCTAAGGTTGCCAGTTTAGTGATGTGATTAGTCCCTGGAAAAATTTATGCACCATTGACTATTATTAATATCATTGATTTCATCTATAATAATGAGTTTTAAATCTAATGAAGTTTTCATAGTGAGTAACAACCAGTCAATTTCTTATAGACCATTGCAGAAACAGTAGGCGATTGGTACTTTGGAAGAAGGGTGACCAAGGAAATTGACTGTGCATATCCTTGTGATTCTACCTGCCATAACTTGATAGGCTGAAACCGTAAGGTTCAGTTCAGGTATTACCTTTTGATAAATGATTCAAGCTTGCTAATGATTCTCAAAAATACATTTGGAGTGCATGGACCTTGATTTTATTCATCTAATGCACAATTTTTTTGAGTATATTTAAGGTCCGATTAAGGATTTAATTATTAGGTGAAAAATATAAGCAGTTCTTTTTGCGAGAATTGCTCTCTTCTCTTTCTTACAAAAAGGATACAGAGTATTTACAGATAGTTGATGAGAATCATGTTAGTATATAATGGTATATACCCTTTGTACATTTAATCAAACATAGTTCTTCTTGAGAGAATTGCTAAGTCCAAAAATGCACTTTTCCACACTTAAGCTTGAAAATAGGCCTTCGGGGATTAAAATCGTGCAACAGCCACGAGACGGCCCGGGGAACACCTCAAACACCTCGGGACGAACCAGTGTGAGTTGTGGAAACGTACGGAACTAGCATGAGACTCCCGGTTTGAAAACTAAGTCCAAAAATGCACTTTTTCACACTTAAGCTTGAAAATAGGCCTTCGGGGGACTAAAATCGTGCAACAGCCACGAGACGGCCTGGGGAACACCTCAAACACCTCAGGACGAACCAATGTGAGTTTTGGAAACACCTCAAACACCTCGTGATGGACCAATGTGAGTTGTGAAAACTTACGGAACTAGCACGGGACTCCCGGTTTGAAAATTAAGTCCAAAAATGCACTTTTCCACACTTAAGCTTGAAAATAGGTCTTCGAGGGTCAAAATTGTGCAACAACCACGAGATGGCTCGGGGAATACCTCAAACACTTCGGGACGGACCAATGTGAGTTGTGGAAACTAACGGAACTAGCATGGAACTCCCGGTTTGAAAACTAAGTCCAAATATGCACTTTTTCACACTTAAGCTTGAAAATAGGCCTTTGGGGGCCAAAATCGTGCAATAGCCATGTGACAGCCCGGGGAACACCTCAAACACCTCGGGACGGACCAATGTGAGTTGTGGAAACTAACGGAACTAGCACGGGACTCCCGATTTGAAAACTAAGCATAAAAATGCACTTTTTTACACTTAAGCTTGAAAATAGGCCTTCGGGGGCCAAAATCGTGCAATAGCCATGAGACGGCCCGAGAAACACCTCAAACACCTCGGGATGGACCAATGTGAGTTGTGGAAACTTACGGAATTAGCACGGGACTCCCGGTTTGAAAATTAAGTCCAAAAATGCACTTTTCCACACTTAAGCTTGAAAATAGGTCTTTGGGGGTCAAAATCGTGCAACAGCCACGAGATGGCTCGGGGAACACCTCAAACACTTCGGGACGGACCAATGTGAGTTGTGGAAACTTACGGAACTAGCATGGGACTCTCGGTTTGAAAACTAAGTCCAAATATACACTTTTTCACACTTAAGATGCAAATAGAGACACAAAAGGAACAAATACAAATGCAGAACAATAAAATAGAAGATCTTGAAGAGGGTAAGAAGAAGCAAGGGGAGATAATGGCTGATGTTGTCAACTTTTTGAGGACCAAAGGATTCACTGGAGACTTTGGAAGTGGAGGGAACTCATCCACAAGTGGACATACTTCTTGGTAAAGTATATTAACTTTAATATAACAAATTTTATAAAAGAATTGAGCGGTAAGCTATTACACATTAATGGGATGCACCTTGGGAGGGACCAATATAAGTTGTATGAACTTACGGCACATTAATGGGATGCACCATTTGTGAATTAGCCTTAAAATTAATTTTTTGTTCTCATAATCTAAAAAAAAGTCTGTTACAGGGATAAATTGTATAATTGATCTAATTGTAAATTGATGAGTTACTAATGTTTTTAATCTTTTGTATAATTGATTAATTACTAAAACTTTTAATTTATTTTTTTGCAGATTGGATTGGGGTGGCATTTTTGACGTGCAACAATGATGTAATTTGTTTGAATGTTCATTTTTGTTTGATAAGGATACACATACTTTTTGGAGTTACACTAGTTATTGTTGGATTTTTGGTGGAATTGAACAAGTTATAACTTTTGGATATTTTGTGGATATTTCACTATTTTATTATATCAGGATGAAATTATTTGTAATGATGAATGTATATTTTCATTTTGTTAATTCGTAAATGTGTTGATAACAGGTTAGGTTAAGTTGTGATGGAATTGTTATATTCGACAGGTTTCAACATGAACAGGGTCGTATTTGTTGAACTAAAATTTAGATTTTGATAAAATAGGTATATAATGTGGAAAAAAATATTATGAAATTATTGACAAAATTTTTTACCCCTAAAGAAGGTTTTTTTGTCTCTTGTTTGGCTTAGGTGGATGATTAATTTTGTCATAAATTCTTTATTTCGTCGCTAAATGAATTTGTCATGACAAAAAATATTGTCACATTTTGTCACTATTACCCTCAATGTGTGACGAATTTTTTTTGACATTATTTCATCATTTTTAATGATGAATTTGTTTTTATCTCTATTGGTAGCTTCTTTGACAAAAAATTTTCGTCTTCGTTTATATTAAATGTGGCAAAATTATTTTGTCTCCATTTCTTATATTTATGACAATACTTTTGTCTCTAATTTCTCCTTTAATGACAAAATATTTTGTCGCTAATTACTTATAAGTATGTTCCCAACAAAGTGTATTGGAGACAAAAAAAATTCGTCACAAATTTATCATTTTTAATGATGAATTTGTTTTTGTCTCTATTGATAGCTTCTTTGACAATTTTTTTTTGTCTTCGTTTATATTAAACGTGACAAAATTATTTCGTCTCTATTTTTTATATTAATGACAAAATACTTTTGTCTCTAATTTTTTCTTTAATGACAAAATATTTTGTTGCTAATTACTTGCAAATATGTTCCCAACAGAGTGTATTGGAGACAAAAAAATTCGTCACAAATTTATCATTTTTAATGATGAATTTGTTTTTGTCTCTATTGGTAGCTTCTTTGACAAAAAATTTTCGTCTTCGTTTTTATTAAACGTGACAAAATTATTTTGTCTCCATTTCTTATATTTATGACAAAATACTTTTGTCTCTAATTTCTCCTTTAATGACAAAATATTTTGTCGCTAATTACTTATAAGTATGTTCCCAACAGAGTGTATTGGAGACAAAAAAAATTCGTCACAAATTTATCATTTTCAATGACGAATTTTTTTTTTCCGTCTCTAAGACCCTTTAGCGACGACCCTTTGGAGACAAAATGGGTGACGAAAAATGTTTGTCGTAATTAGTTTGGGTGACGAAATATATACATTTTGGGACAAATTTGTTTCGTCTTTAAATCCCAAATTTGTTGTAGTGACATCCAGTCGAACCACCAACCGTCATCAAGGGCATTGAGTAGGCGTTGCTGGAAGAAGTAGTCGCGAGCTGAGTATGCTGGGCAAGAGTCCACAACCTGCAACTTGTCCATCAACCACACCTGGGAAGGGATGAAAAATGAGAGAATAAAGAATAGAGAGATGTACGATGAGAGAAAAGTGAGAAAAGGGTTTTGTGAGAAAAACCGAGCTTGAGGGCCGAGTGATATGAGCAATATATGTGTGAGATTGGATGGGAAACATTACCTGCAGCAGTAGTGGACTCCCTGCAAATCTGGTCATTTCTCAGCAATAGAAAGCGTCCAAGCCCATCAATGTTTTAGCCAATACCATGGCAATGCAGCTCTTGCCCTCCTTCAACCCTTGGGCAACCTCGACCAACCAGACACTAGATCCTCTGGAGCCCGAGGAAAAAAAGAAATGAGATAGTACGCGCAAACAAAGGGCATGTCGCCGAAAGCCTTGCCAATGATAGCCACCGCGATCACCGGCATCAGAAAACCGGCAAATCAAACTCGGAACATCCAGCATTCCGTCACAAACCAAAGAGCGAGCATCGTACATCGTGAGCCCACACATTCGCCCTAAGGCTTGGGCGTGGCCGAAACGAAGCTAAGGCAAGATTTGCTCATCGCGCTCAGACTCCATTAGAGCTTGGAAATCTTCGAAGGTAGGACACACCTCTTGCCCGCCAAAGCTAAAGACGTGAGTTATTGGATTCCAAAACCTTGCCGCGGTATGGAGAAACGGAAGGTGCAGCGGAGTACGACTCAGAGTGAATAGTGTGTTTATGCCGAAGCCCCGAAAACTCAACTTTTCCGAGCCATCCAAGTTGTTAATCCAAGTAGTGAGATTTTGGGCAAGGAACTCTTCCATTTGGAGCAAATCAGTGTTGAATTGAGAAGAGCTACGAAGCTAAGGCTTCTTGTAGGGGATAAGGTATGAGTGGAGGACAAGTGTCAGCATTCTGGTGATTCTTGCAATTCATGGCCGACCGGCCAAACATTGTGCCCACTGACCACCACTATCGGTCGATGGCCTTTCCCTATGGCTGATGGCCTTTCCTTATGGCTGATGGCCTTCCCTCTTGTTCCATGAGCTGTTTATGAGTTGAACATGTTGAGAAATTGTGGTTGGTACCACTTCCAATGCCGTCTGGCGATGATTTTGCGAAGTCATGTCTATTTGTTTATCGAGTTGTATTTCACATTCTTTAAGTCTTTGTTTTGCTTATCGAGTTGTATTTACACTTGATTAACTTATCGAGTTCTTTGATTTGCTTATCGAGTTGTTTTGTCATTAGTCAGCTCACTACCTGATTATTATGAGGCAAACGCTTACTTTTCAAATAAAGTTCGATTTCATTCACATTGTTATGTAATGCCATACGATGCGATGCATAGAAAGCACAAATGTAACACCTCTTTGGACCAAAATGGCTATCTCATTTCCATCATGTCTTTTGCAAAAAGTATATATATGCAATTTTGAAAACCTGCCTGAGGCAGTGCAATGTGCTTAAACTACCAGTAAAAAGGAAGGTAAAGCAAAAGAAGAACAGGGTAGCAGAGTATCAGGACCGATACCAGTAACCTCCCCTTGTGGTTGATGCACATCCCGCGCCCTTGATCGGGTCAATTATGTGGTTTGGCACCTTCATTACTCAAGACAGTGCAAGAAAGTGCACTTTTTGGAACATTAGTAGACCCTCGAGTTGACCTCAAGCAGTGTATTCTATGAGCGATGCTCGGTGCGTGCGAGGAGTATCCCTTCCCGTATCCTTTTTCTATCTCGTGAATTCCACAAATTGCCTCAATTATATTGTATTGCGTTGCTTTATTTTGGCTTTCGTAAACCACGCTCGTTTCAAGTTCCTTTTATAAACATTGCATGCGTTGTCGCGTTATGCTTTACTTACATGTGTGCAACACATTGCATGCGTTGTTGCGTTATGCTTTACTTACATGTGTTCAAGTTCTTTTTATACACTTTGCATGCGTTGTCGCGTTATGCTTTATTTACTTGTGTTCAAGTTCCTTTTATACAAATTGCATGCGTTGTTGCATCTTCACACATTGTGCACGTTGTCACGTGTTCTTTACTTACATGTGTTTGCGCCTTCGTAGCATTGTTATGCTTGCCCCGAGTTGCATTGTTACGCTTCCCGCTCGATTTGCGTTGTCACGCACTTTCAATTGCATTGTCATGCATGTTGTTAACGATATCGTACCTGTTAAGTTTTCTTTCTCTTTCAGGCACGATATTGTATGTACGGTTCATTTGAAGCTGGTGCAACCAGACGAGCCGCACAGGTATTGTATTCTCTGTGTGAGACGTATCGAGAATTGAATAATTCTCTTACATCCTTCCTGCATTATAATGTAGTTGGATTTGTGTTTGATTGCTTAAAACTGTTGCATGTTATGCTTCGTTACAGCTTTCTTTGCATGATCATAAGTTATGCTCAGCTTTGTGCATTGTCTTGCGTTTTGCCCCTGCCTTCGGGCGCATATCTTTATCTGTAACTTGTATGGTTTGTCTAAGTCTTCGGCCTTGTCAAAAATGGGTCGTCTCTGGGCTTTGACATTCACTTCCGTCATTGTTATGCCTTTCGAGTTCTGTCAAAGAGGGGCAACTGTAGACACCCCATTTCTGACCGTCCTCAAGACTTGGACGTCATCATTTGAACACTCGATGATCATCCATGTTCGTGTGCGTTTTGAGTTCCCGGAAGCCTCGGCCGCGCACCTTGCCTCAGGATCTCTTAACTTGCCTGTTCTGTGCTTGGTTTTACACCAGAGATTTGTGTTTTGTGCTTCTGAGGGGGGGGAAGAGGCTTGTTAGCCATCCCTGAAGCCCACCGGCCGTGGCATGATGCCACCGGCCTTTCCCTTTTGCTACCGACCAAATGTTTGGTCGGTCGGCACTTCTGTTGGTGTATCGGTTCTTTGTGTGGGTCGACTGACCATTTACTTGGCCGATGGACTCCTTTTCTGGCCGATACCTCCTTTTTGCCTCTTTGAGGCATGGTACATGCCAGTTGTGCTAGCTGGAGTGCACGGACTTGTCCTCCATATTTCACCCTTTGCACCCTTTTGGTCTAGCTTCTTAAGGAAGCTTGGACCTTTGTCTTAGCTTCCTCAAGAAGCTTGGACACCTGTCCCAACTTCCTAAGGAAGCCTTGGCCCCTTTGCCTTGGCTTCTTTAGAAAGCCTTGACCCCTTTTGTTAGTTTCTCTTGGAAGTTTAACACTTGGCCTTGTCTATTTAAGGAGACCTTCCTCCTCCTTTGAAGGGGTTTAGCAAAACCAGACCTAATTACATATATCTCTGATATGTATCACCCTCTCTCTCTACATCTCCCTCTCGCTCTTGATTTGTGTGTGTTTGAGGGCCTAAAAGTGTAGTTTGTTCTTAGTTTTGCACTAGAACACATAGTATTACACCATACTTTGACTTTGGAGGTGTTGAGGGTTTATTCTTCAAGTTTTGAGCAGGTTTTGATCAAAAGAAGGTGGCTGCACTTGCTGTTCTTGAAGTGTTCTTCAAGGGTAACACTTTTGCTTTATTTTCCCCAATCTTGCACTAGTCTTTAACCTATCTTGCATACTGATTTATGTTTTGCGTATAACTGAAAAAATTCTTGTATTTGCATGCTTAAGATACTTCATTAAGGTCACTTTGGTGTTGGGGGTCGACCTCCCCCCCTTAGGCCTTGTTTGGCCCTTCTGTACCTTCTTTGTTGAGCTTTAAATCCTTTTGTGTGTTGGCCTTCCCA